CCCCCGGGTATGGACCCGATCGGAATATGGTCGAATCCCAGCCAAGTTTTAGTAGGGTTTCACAAACCCGAAAGAATTACCTAATTTACAAATGGAAGTTTGAACCAAACAATGCACAAAATCATTTTAAAGGAAACTAAACTTCACCCACACCTCAATACCGATGGAGAATACAAAATATGTAGGATGGTGGGAGGGCCATTCCGGCGGGCCCACAGTGGTCTGAATACCCCCTTTTTCGACGAAAAACTCCTTACGGCTACATTTTATATCGGACCTAGGTGTTCCTTCGGACTAAGAGGTTTCAAAAAAAGGTCTTTCTGATGGATTGGTCATTTTCAGAAAAAGTCGACTTTCAGCTAAGTAAGGTGTCGAATTTCGCTTAATTTATCTAAAATCCAAAAATCTGATGCCAGTGTCTGATTCAGAATAAAAAAATAAACTAACTTTATTTCGATGTATTTTGGCGTAAACTAACTATTTCAAGGAGTTAAACTCAATTTTAGTCAAAATTTGGCGTTTTCCATCGTTTTTCAATGTTTTACAGAACTTTGGCAAAGAGTCAAAGTGTTAAAAAATCCACTCCATTTAATCTATACTTCAAAATTTTATTCGGAAAAATCTACAGCAGCCGACTTTGTGTTCAGGGCGACGAGAAGACGGGTGACGGGGTGCTCGTAGAGTCCGCGGAGGAGCCGCGGGTGGGAGGGGAGCCTCCCCGCCCTCCCGCCGCTCCTCCGCTCGCCTGCCCTCACCATCTTGCTCTGTATCCGTTTTTGTTCTTCTTATATCTGCTCAGCACTATAAAATAAGTACCCTATCCGTTGTTCCTCGACGTGTCATACGGGAGCTTGAGAAGCCCTCGTCAGAAACCCTCGCCGGAGACGCCGTTTTCCGCTGTATTTGCACAGATTGTGGACTTAATGAAGGCCTTCCCGCAACTTCCCGCAACTTTTGCCGGTCTCCCCTGTTAGAGTACATGCCAATGAACGTTCAGAAACCCCGAACACGTTCGGATATTGGTCGGAGCGATTTAAATCTCAAAAAATGTAAGTTTAAGCTTTTGCCCACAAAATGCTAAAAGTCGGGGCCCCCTGGTTGGCACAGGAGACGGCACACCAACGCGCAAGTAGTCGTTACTGTTTCTTCAACGTACTAAGAAACTAGGATAATCGGCGCTCTTACCGGGGGCATCGCTATTTCAGATCATTTCTCTATGTTTCAGATAGCCGTCCGACGACCCGTGTAGTGCGGAAGAGTGATATTTGGACGTTATTTCGCTGTGCACCTAGGACTGAAATAACGGCGAATTATCGGCTAAGTACCCGCCTGAAAACTACCAAAACAACAACGAAATAACGACGAAGAAACGCTGAAATATTTCGTAGTTATTTGGCTATTATTTCGCTACTATTTCGTATCATTTGGTGCCGTTTTTAGACACGAAATATCGGCGAAATAACGACGAAAGCACGTGGTCACAAATGAAAAGATAGGGTCGGCGTGGGGAATCGAACGCTCAACTTGGAAGTTCGGAGTTGGGTGACGTAACCACTGGGCCAGAGCGGATACTTGTGGAAACGGGTCGAAGTCGCCAACACGCCGTCCCGACAATCGTGGTGTGTTAGTGCACCCAGAAAACGACATTCTAGCTTTTATTATGTTAACATACTAATACGATACTCTAATTGGAAACTCTAAAGAACATACTAATGTTTAGAGGATGAACATACTATTCCAAAACTCTTAACTCACATACTAATGTTTAGTGTATTAACTTACTAATGCAACAATCTTACCTAACATACTAATCCTTAGTATGTTAAATCCCGAACCAAATCGGGGAACGACCCTGCGCTCGGCTCTGGATGACCGCACTTTATAGAATTGTCCAAGTTCTAGTACCAATTCCGATCAATTTTGAAACAAAATGTTGTAACCTTGGATGCAGACTGAAAAATATGAAATGTTGTGACATTTTTTGTTTTCGTTTAGAAATCATTATGGGCTTGTGGGCCGCTAGGAACTGCCGCTAGATGGCGTCACGGTCAGAGCGTCTCTTGCAAACAGCATTTTTTGCATTAAACTAAAATTTTGACGCGAAACTAAAATGTTATTTTACGTTGTATGCTCTATAAGACAATAGCCTTTAGGGAACATGCAAATTTTTGTTGAAAAAGTCAACGATGCGCCAGAAATAATTGGTTTAGTATCAACGCGCGCAGGGTCCCCGCCAACTCTCCTTAGTTGGGTGCGGCAACGTTTACCACCTTTGTTTGTGGTGTGTTCTACGCGCTGCATCATTTTTGTACCAAGTGGGTCGCTGATCCATTTCGCTTTACTTCGGTAAAGAACATACATGGGATCCAATTAATAATCGTTTTCCCGTTTAAAATCCACGGTACTAAACGCCTAATTATCCGCTGACCCTGGCCGAGTCGGTATTCTTTTTTTCTTAGATTAGGGTACTAACACACTAAAGATTAGCATGTCAACATACTAATCAAACATACTATACTTTAGTATGTTACATACTTTTATCTACGATTAGGGTATTTACATACTGAAGATTAGAATGACATACTTGGTTCGTATTATACACTGTCAACATACTAAACATTAGTATGTTACTCTAAAATCAAGAATATCGTTTTCTGGGTGTGCACAGAGAGGAAAAAGCTCATTCTATCTCCTTTTAGAGTTCAGTCTATGTACCAAGTGTACCCGAACGCCAACGACACGTATTTTACTGGCGTTCGGACGTCCTTTTCGCGAAGTTTCACTCCCCTCCTTTATGAACCGCTTATGAGAAACTTCAAACTCGATTGTCGGGACATCTTGTTGGCGACTACGACGCTCTCCTCACAAGTATCCGCTCTGGCCCAGTGGTTACGTCACCCAACTCCGAACT